GGCGCAGTCCTAGGTCAGGGAAGGAAGGCCGCCGCGCCCCTTGCGCTCCCCCCTGCAGCCCCCCTGGGCCGGGGCAGGGGCACCGGGCCCGATGACGTCATGGAACTGGTGGAGGATTTAGCTCCGAACCCACCCGGGAGCAGCCCTGGGGCCGATGTTCTATTTCACCCTCTGCTTTCCCAAATCCAGCTTTCCACCTTCCCGGGATCGCAGCAGGGTTCTGAAAGACCTCAGCGTGTCATGCCTGGGCCGAGAAGCCCCGGGAACAGGCCTGCAGGTGTGGGCTGGCAAGGCTCTCCAAGCGAGGGTGGGGCCAGGCCGTTAAAACTTTTCCAGCCAGGTCTCAGGCAGTGGGCCTGACTTCAGGCTGAAATATGCCTCTGGCACAGGTAATATCATAATTAACGATAATAACGCTGTAGACAGTTCTAGAATGCTACTGCCTTCCAGAGACCAATCAGATCCTCGAAGCAGACATTCTACTACCCTACCCCCATTTTACAGATGACAAACTAAAGCTCCAAAAGGTTAAGGAGCTTTAATGAAGGATCACACAACCACCAGCGTCAGAACTAAGATCTGAACCCATATCTCTCTGTCTTCAGGCCTAAGCGTGCTCTTTTCAAGACACTGCGTTGCTTCTCAATTTTCAAATAGGTGCATTCCAAAGGTGAGGGCACCCACTGTCCAACAGCCCCCCCGGGCTTTCCCATCTCTTTTCTGTCTGCCCCAGTTCTGCCGATGACCCAAGACATAATGGGGGAAGGGGACAATCCATCAGAAGGCAGAGGGAGGACTGTTTGCTCTTCAGGAGAGACCTTAACAACTTACCACGTTAATAGCTACCACTCCTAAATGGCTATGACTGGAGATGGAGGGGACAGGGTATATTTAAAATAGCAGTAGAGAAGAAAGATGACTTTGTGGGACATGATGTGCCAAGGGCTGTGCTGTGCTAGTAGTATACTTTTTTTTTTTTTAAATCAAAGCTGGCAACAAGGCAAGATATGATACTAATATCTAACATTGATGTGCCGGGCATTGCTCTAAGTACTCTGCAAGACAGAGTAGTGGTGGGAAGATTTCAATTATTCAGACAACAGCTGGAGTTTAATTTTGCTATAAGTCTAGCATCAGCAAAAGTCCCCATTTGCCTCATTGACTCTTTCATCTCCAGGGTAGGACCAGGCATCTGACTGTCTGGGTTGGCATCCTAGCTGTGTCAGCTTGTAGGGGAGCCAGTTATGTATATTTGAGGAAGCACCTTAGCCCCTGTGAGACCCTGTCATTTGGGGGGGGGGTAGCAGTGGTGTCACGAGGATCCCAAAAGAGACTGCAGAGGAAGGACCAGCATGTTGCCCAAGGAAGCTCTTACCAAACGTGAACTGCTCATACTGTTATTATGACCTCTAGCAGGGAAGGGGCATTTTGACCAACAATAAATAAGTTGAGATGATGTGGAGGTAACTCCAGCCAAGAAGGAAAGTGACCCTTTTGTCTCAGAGGGGATAAGGGTACAGGAAGTCAGCGCTAGGCACAGAGTTAAAGCAAGCGAATTTCCGAGAGTTTGGAGAAAAGTCTGACTCAGTGGGATTCTAGCCTAAATCCTTAAATAAGAATTCATGTATAAAGGATGGGAAGTATAGAAGATATTCCAAAATAAAATTTTAACAATTCATTAATTCCCCTGGGAAGAAAAAGGAAAAGAGTTATAAAATTCAGCATGACAGCAACAGGGAGCTCTGGGTTGAGCCCATGCTTTCAGGAGACTGTACGCATACATCCGAAAGCAGGGTGTGGGCATGAAACCAGGTGTGAATGCACAAAGGCAACTCAGACCTGATGCTGGAGCCAAGCAGAATGTTAAACAATGAAGCAAAAAAAGAACATGGAAAGAACAGCTCATTAGGACTTTGCCCTACAAAAGAATTTTTATCTTTCCTAAAGAGAGTAGCCCTAACCAAAAAAAAAAAAAAAAAGAGGAGATGCTCTTCCTTTAAAGGGGGGTACCAGAGCCCAGGGTAGGTCAGTAGAGAACTAACTAACTGGCCTTGGAAAATACACATTAGAATCCAAGTTGCTGGACAAACCTACAGGTGTCCTTAGGGAGCCACTTTATATTTGCCTCATTCATCCCATGAAGCAAATGGACAAATGTCCCAGTTTTCAAAAAATTAGAAAAGGAGACATCCCAATTCCGGCAGGTATAAAATTATTCAAGTATTTGCCCTTAGCACACAGATATCAGTGAGTTAATATGAGTTCCCTTCTTTTCTGACAGGTTGTATGGTGGTCATTTAGAAAATGCCATTTGATCTAGCCTTGCATTGTAATGGAGAGAATGAAGGGTTAAGGTCTGGACACCTGGATACTAGTCTGGTTCCACCATTAGTAAGTTAAGTGACTGCAGGCAAATTTTTAAACCCCTCTGGGCGTCATTTATGAAAGATAGGGCATGTTCTTTTAAGGCGTTCTCATTTTTAATTTCCATGATTCCACATTGTACTGAAAAGCAGACCTAGTGACAGTCCAGTCCAGAGGATGTAGCCCCGGGAAGGCAGCCACACCTTGAGAGCTTTTTAATGTCCAGTGTCTGCTGTGTTACACTGACCAAGGAGACGGCCTTGGTCCCAGTATTTGCCCTTTATATACACACGTGTTAATGATTTAATCCCAAAATGAAAGGAAGGCTATGGCAAGGGGTTGTAGAATGAAGATTTAAAATGAACTAGATGGATGGAGGGGGCTTGGGCTAAGAACCAGATGAAATTGATTGATATAAATGTAAAGCCCTACGTCTATGTTATTTTTAAAACATACCTATACAAGTTCATGATAGGGAAGAGCTGGCTGAGAAGTAGATAATGGGATGAGGGTCTGTGATGACCACTCATTCAAGCTGAAGTGATTCAGCTGTCATCTAGCTGCTAACAAAAGAGCTAGTACAACTGTGATCATATTTAACAATAAGGATAATGATAATGGGGGACATGTGTTGCACCCTTACACGGGCTTCCCACAGTATCTGATTTCTGGGGGAATGACAGTGTGAGAGGAGCCCAGCCCCAGGAGGTGCTCCTACCATGGCCACCTATGCCATCAGATCCTGTGGCTGGTGTTATTTTCAGTGCTGGAGGCCTTACAGAATAGGAGAGTAACCAACAGTAGTCTGTGCAGACCAGGGCAACCAGGACAGGGAAGTCTGAAAACCAAGTCCCACGGGAGCGGCTGAGAGCGCTGACAGTGTTCAACCCAGAGGAGGCACAACCAAATGGTAGTGTGAGAGGGAGGAGAATGAAGGAGCCCTTCGGACTTAGGCTCTGACTGTCTGCCATCAAGTCTGTGTACTTCCATTTGTATGTTGTGTGACTTTGGGCAAGTTACTTAACCATTTGTGTGTCTCAGTTTCCCCAAATACAAAGAGGAGATAGTCACAGTATCTGAATTACAAGATTATCACAAAGGTAATAAATGAGATGTATACAAGAGCTTACCTGGCAGATGGCAATGCTGAATACATATGAACAGTGATGATGATGATTGTCATCATGTATTGGATGGACTGTCCCCATGGAGGAGGAAGGAGGGTCATTCTGTCTGGCTTCAGAAGGGAGAATTGGACCAAGAGGCAGAAGCAGGAAGAAAGAGAATCTGTTTCAGTGTAAAGAGACAACCTTTCAAGTAATCAGAATCTCCCAGTGAAGAAATGAGTTTCCAAGACTCCATTGGAAGCTCACTCCATTCCATTTTGTAGTTGAGAGATAAGCCATGGGCATGATAAGGTACCATAAGTTAAGAGAGTTGAAGAAATTAAGAGGTAAGCAAATATGAATGGCAACAAGCCCTAACTTCCTGCTCCTCTTCTGTTGAGAAATCTCTGGAAGTTTGGATTTGTAGGTAACCCCAAAGACAGTGAATTTTTGTTGCATACTTTTCATTTTTCCTGCCTCACAATAAGTAAAATAAAGAACTTGGGCTTTACAGTCAAATTACATAACTTGGAATCCTTACTCTTTAATATATCAGCTGTACAACCCTGAATAACATGGCTCACCTCTCTGAGTCCAGTTTTTTCCTTCTGTAAATGAAGTAAACTACCTACAATCATAAGGAACAAAAACCAGAATGAATATATTCCTTGCTGCATGGGTAAACTGTATGCCAAAAGTAGGTTGACCTTACAGATATTTGAGACAAACAGATTCAAGCATTCTGGCCTTTTGTACCTGGCAGGGGATGCGGGTGGCAGAGATTGGATAAATAAACTCTGCTACATCAGCAAGCACATATGCCAAAACTGCACTTAAAATGCAGATACAGGAGACAGGCAAATTCTGAAAGCCTTCCAGATCTTTTTTTCTTTGTTATTGAAGCACGGTTGACACACAATTTACATTAGTTTCAGGTGTACAACATAGTGATTCAACAACTCTATACCTTATGCTGTGCTCACCACAAGTGTAGCTACCATCTGTCACCATACGACACTATTACAATACCATTGACTCTATTCCCTATGCTGTATCTGAAAGCCTTCCAAGCCTTAAGTCATGTACTTATTACAGGAGGGATAAACTAAGAGGGGTGAAGTGAAGTGAAACTTTTCTGTCCTTTGTTCAGAATGTACTACATGTTAGGTGCAGGGCTCAGTGTCCCACTATATGGGACGTCTTCACAATGGTTATGCAGGGACAGAATTGATGATAACGAGGTTAGACCAGAGAACAGGTGTGCAATTGTCTCGAATTCCATCCCTGAAGCCCTTCTAGATCTGTAGAGGACCTCTGAAGCCTTGTATTGCCATCCTCAGAGATGACCAGGATTTCATCTCCCCAATCCACCACAGTAGCCAAAGCATTAAGCCTTCTGCAACTTTGCCCAAGATCGAGCATCTGACAGAGGCAGGCTGCTGGCTGAGGGCCCATCACACACACACTCAGCACCGTGGGGTGGGGAACACGGAGAACACCAACAAATGACCTTTTCTCTCTGCCCTTCAGTGTGATGGGGTCGAGGTAGACCTGAGCAACATCTTCCTGGAGGGCATTGCCATTCTCAACATTCCCAGCATGTACGGTGGCACCAATCTCTGGGGAGAGACCAAGAAGAGCCGGGCTGTGATCCGGGAAAGTAGGAGAGTCGTCACTGACCCCAAGGAACTGAAATTCTGTGTCCAAGGTAAGCGAAGCATTAGGAAAACTGGGATTCCACATGTTACTGTTTTTTCCTATTCCCCCTTCCCTGTCTCTTTCCCGATTCCCCGTCTCTCTAATCTCTTGGTGCTGGTGGCCCACAGGCAAGGGCCTCAACCCTCTTTTCTGTCTGTACTCACTCTTTTGATGACCTCATCCAGGCGTGAGACTATTTAAAATGCCACGTGAGTGTCAGTGACTCAGCATGCCCCAAACCGAACTCCTGTTGTCCCTCCCACAGACCTTCTCCACCCATAGCCTTCTCCATTTTGGTTGATGTTAACTCCAGCCTGCCCGTTGCTCGAGCCAAAACACTTGGCACCATCCTTGACTCCTTTTTATCTCACACCTCCCATCCAACCCATCAGAAAATCTGTTAGCTCTACTTTTAAAGAACAGCCGGGATCCAGTTACTTCTCACCGCTGCATTTCTGCCACCTTGATCTGAGTGAGCCGCCTTCCTCTGTCCCCTGGATTACTACAAATCCTCCTAACTGGATTCCTTGCTTCTGTCCCTGCCCTGTAGAGTCTGTTCTCACCACTGTATCCAAGTACCCCTGGGAAAATATGTCAGATCATGCCACTCTCTGTCTCAAAATCCTGTAGTGGCTCAGAGTAAAAGTCAAAGATCGTATGTGGCCCAGAAGGCCCTAGATGGTCTGGCCTCACCGTTACCTTAGCGACTTCACCTTCTAGGACTCTCCCCTTTATGCCCCTGCCTCTGCCAATCTTGGCTCCTCCAATACAGCAGGTTGCTTCTGTGGACTAACTATTCTTTATGACCGGAGTAACTGGGAGTATGCCTTAGAACCGTCAGCGAGACCTCCCCTTTTAACCCATCAGGATACAGAACACAATTTGATCCCTACCCCTTACCAGCCATTTCCACCCACGAACCAAATGGGAATGCAATCAGCGTACCTGGGCAGCTCCGATTCCTCCGTGGATTGGGTGAATGGTTCTCAGTGGGCTGGTGGGCTGAGGGAGGAAAGCCATGTATGAGGGTACTGGCAAAGATACCACATCAAGAGGCAAGAGACTAGGTTCAAGTACAAGTACTAGCACTAACCTATTTTTGGCATTTCAGTTTTCTTTGCTGTAGACCGAAATCTCATATAAAATTTTGATAGCAGAATGAATGGCGTTGAACTAGATCTTTGGTTCTTATACCTGCTTATTGAAAATGAAGATTCCTGGGCCCTAGCCCAGATCTACCTAATAATCACCGAGTTGGTTCCTGGGAATCTAAATTTGTAATGAACTCCCCAGACAACTCTGATGGGCTGCCAGGTTTGAGAACCACTAATAGACAAAGTATCCGTGGATCTGGATCTCTGTTCTTTGATGTCTCTGGCTGACAAGTGCGAAGACTGGATGTGATCCTACCATAGCAGGAGACAAAACTTGGCTGACCATCAAAGGGAGGGGGTAACTTGCTTATTTCAGACTCATCTGTTAGACAGTCAGATTGTTTCATTCCAAGGCAAGGTCATCAAGAGGCGTTAGCTCCACACCTCTAGCCTTTAAGAGAGGACTCAGGAATTTTTATTTCTCTGTTGCCCTCTTAAGTCCTCTTTATTTCACACAGTAAACTTTTCAATTTGTATAAATTATTAAACTGAATAATGTGTTCCTCCTTCCTCCCTTGGCAGGGGAAGTTGTGGGTGCTAGCAGAGGGTGGGGGAAGCATTGAGGTTGTATAAAGTTTATGCAAACTTTCCCAGCCCAGTGCTCCTATCCCAACCCCCATCCTGACATCCAGTTCCAGCAGAACAGAACTGAGGGAGAATCATCCCCCTACCTCCACCCAGGGTGTGGGGAAGCTCTTCTGAGGACATGTACTGGTTAGGACTCAAGGCTTTGTCTTATATCTGACCATGTATTTTCCCCTTCAAGTAAGAGTAATATGTCTGCTGATCACTTCTAACCATCATCTACATGAACTCTCTTCCCCAAATCCCCCTTTCCCACCCCTAGAATGTGCTTTCAGAGCTAAAAACAAAGCTACTTCCTGTTCTTTAGATGAGGACATGAGCTGATCAGAGCAGAGGCAGAAGAGAGACCTGGCTTCTGGGTTTTACAGAGACAGTGTCATTGAGCTTTCTTTTGAAAGGACCATGATCTCATTTGGGATGTTAATGGAGGAAAGCTAAAGAGACCAGCTATTTTAGTGGAAAAGCATTGACCTGGGAGTCAAGAGACCTGAATTCCAGTCCATACTCTGCCTCTCACGAGTGTGATATTGGGCAAGTCTTTCACCCTGTTGGGTTTCAGTTTTCATTATCTGTAAAGTAGGCAAGTGTGACAATCACATAGGCTCCTGTAGATCGTCATGGATCTACAAAATAAAGGCATGGCCAGGTTTCAGTCTAGGTGGGCTCCTTGAGCAAAATCAGATGACAGGTTCCTTTGTCTTTCAGTGCATTTTGTTTCACAGTTTCTAGACCAGCTACTGAGAAGCCAGGAATCTCTCTCTACAGGCTCTTCATTTGCTGGGATTCTTTACTCTTGAGCAATTTTGTTGGGCATGGGGGTGAGGAAGAAGTCAGCAGAGAGCAGTGGGAAGGAAGAGATTTATCTGAGAGGTAGAAGAGGAAATGACAACAGAAAGGGTTACTGTCAAACCTCCTCATCACAGATCAATCTTTCTCCTTAGAAAAAACAATCCAAGAAATAAAGTTGTTCAAGATGAGCATGGAATGAGTTCTCTAAAACACTGCCTAGTTAGAACACAATGAGGGCTGGGAAAAGCACCAAACTTGCAATTGAATGACTTAAGTTTACATTTAGGCTTTACGCTTTCCAGTTTTATAAACTTCCTGGAGTCTCAGCTTCCTCATCTGTAAAATGGGCATAATCATATCTAACTTGTACTAAAGATGATGGATGTGAAAGTGCATGGAACATAGAATAAGCTCAAACTTTTTTAAAGAAATTTCCCCTCACCTTTAATCTTAGCTTATTCTGGAGCATACCAGTTGAATTTCTGATTTTGAAGTTCTTATCTTTAGCATTGCCATCTACCTATACTATCAATAAAAAGGAGCAGAGCTCCTGCCAAAGTCCAGCCTAGCCTTTGTCCTAGTACATTAAACTTGTATCATCAGTTGTACCGACATCTCCTTTCCTAGACCTTTCATGTTCCAAGCATGGAGGCTGGGGGTTATTCATCTTTGAATCCCCAATGCCTGACCCAGTGTAGTTAGTCCAAAAAAGGTTGTTGGATAATGAGCAGTACATGACATTGGTTCCTTCTCATTTTTATGACACCAAGAAGAATAGTGACAGGTAGTCTCTTATATTTGCATTTCATTTTGGCTTACAAATAGTTTTGCATATATTAACTTAATGTGATCCTAACCAGAAACCCACTCCCTTCCATACCTCTGTTTCATAGTTGGGGAAAAACAGAGGCCCAGAAAAGGGGGCCTCATGCATAATTTATGTCTGGTGTGATGGCACCAGAAGCAAGTCCATGATTCCTAGCTAGCCAGCCCCAAGTGGCTAGTGTCCAACCAGAAAATTTATTTGAGGCCCTACTGTGTGTGTTGTACAAGCCAGGCACTTAGTAAACAGGAGATGCCAGTCCAAGGCAAGGCTCCCCAGAGACTTGTGGAAATTCTGCTCCTCCTTTAAGGCTTAAGTCTCCTTTCTGGAGCCTGTGGTGGTGCCTCTGGAAGTGGATCCAACCTCTGAATTCCTAGAGTACTTGATTTTGCTATCTTGAGATAGTACACTGATTATGGGTTGTCCTATCTCATAGGTATGTGTATCCTAGTCATTTCTTTCTCCTGCCAGTACCTGGAAAATGGGGAGCACATGGTCTTCATCTTTGTGTTCCCTTCAAAGCCCAACATCTTACCTACCTGGCTTATTATGTTGTTCTACAGACGTGTTTTTTGGAAGAAGGGAAAACAGGAGGGAATTTTGCCTTTGGTCTTCCAGCACAGTGGGCAGTAGATTCTGGAGCTGGACAGGAACAGGAACTCAGTGGAAAGTCTTTTTTTTTTTAAAAAAAGTATTTTAAAGAGTTATATGTGAGTATTTATGAGGCTGAGGGTTTCATCTTGTGATACCATTAGACTCAGTTGATAAGTAAGATGTGCCAGCTATCTGCAAATAGGTAACTCAGATCTATCTTGAAGACTTAGAATCAATGCAGAATGAGGGACTAAACATTGAGGTAGAAGTTGAAAGGCCTAGGCCTTCCCACCACCAACCATGTGACATTGGTTAAGTCATTAACCCTCCACAAGCCTCCATTTCAACCCATACAAGATGGAAACAATTAGAGTCTCTCTCACTCAGCATTGTTTTGAGGGTTAAATGAGACCATCCACGTAGAGCATTTAGCAGAGTGCCTGGAACATGGTGAATTCTTGATCAATAGTAATCAGAATTACTGTTAAGTGGTAAATGGAGGGTGATAAATATTTAGTATATGATAAGAAATGGGCCAACTTTAGGGTTTCAGTCTCAACCTCTGCTTCAGAATTTTAGTCTAGATTATTTCTAAATTACCTGCGGCTCTAGGGTTATTTGTTGGCACTGGGTGAGTTAGTTTGGCTGTTGCTTCCAATATAGGAGTTACCCCTGAGCTGACTCTCCAGTGAAGCAAGATAAGGGTAAGAGTGCGAAGTCTTGAATCCAGGTGAAGCACCAAGGGCATGATACAAAGCTGGACCAATCTCTGCAAGGTTGGGCAATGAAGCCTTGAAAAGCTCTGCCGTTGTTTCTCTCTAGGCCTACCCTAGGTATGAATGAGGGGACTTCCTATACACATATTCTCACATTCTTCACTGAGCCTCATATCTGTCCCAATCTTGCCTTTTAGCCTTGAACCAGCAATAGCTTTAAGCTATGTCATCCACACCTAAGCCTCTCTATCTGTTATTAAAGCAATACTCTTCTCAGTGATTTCTTAGTCAATCCCATTTGGTTTTTTTTTAAGACTTATTTTATTAATGAGAGATACAGAGAGAGAGA